AAGTACCCTAAGTAAATATAAAAGTTATTTTTATGATATACATTTTTATGATAACTATGACTGCCATTATAGAAAAAATTCAGTACTGCATGTGGATGGTCTGTGTCTTTCATTTAGCCAAAAGGTTGGGTTAGCCAAGAGGCCATGGCGATTTAATGGTGCAATTCTTGTCTTCCATGCTGGTCACTGGCATTCACTTCCTGGAAAATGGACCTCCTATGTCGCCACCACTGATGTGTCACCGGAGGCTTTCGTTTTCATTCCCAGACTAAAATGAACTAGGAAGAAAAGCCTGGCTATCGACTTATGAAATCAACATTAGTCCTGTTGATCACAACAACCTGATCCAAAACTGATCGGAGATATTGTTATAAATTTCACAAACCATATATCACAGAATTAAGTCGCTTTTAAAGGGTTGTATATATATTATCACAATCAGTTCTAATGCACCCTGCCTACTCCTACATTCATTCTTTGCTCCCTAATTCCCCTCAACCTCTCTTCACATCCCCAAAAGCCTTGGCATCATCAGTTATTGTCTCTCTGCATCCAGTCCTTCTGTGTTCCATAAACTGGAAGACATATCAGAAACAATAAAAGAAAACAGAAAATAAATAAAAAAATAAACAAGTAAAAATTAAAATGCAGAGGAAGGAAAAAAAGCAATATTAAAGTAAGCCAGAGAGGAAATTTTCTGTTCTGGAACAACTGAGAAATATTTTAATCTAGAACAAATTCAAATAGGGTCAAGAGAAAGGTCGACTGACCAGGTATCATATTATGCCTTACCTACGTCCACCTTAATCAAATTTACAATAATCTCAATCTGATAGCAAAGCTATTCATGTCACTTGACTGTTGCCTGAGAAAACCTGCCAGAGGTTTAATCCCACTAGGTTCTCTGCAGATGGATTTTGGACTCCCCTGTCTTCCATAGCCTTCTACAAATTGGATATTCACAATTTGAGCTCTGTTATCTTTCCCTCCATCATATTTGGATTTTGTTATTTGTCATCTTTGGATCATACAGGCTGGTGTGCTTCTTGATGCTGAATTGTTTCCCATGTATGGAGACCCATAGGTGTCACAGTAGAACTGTGCTCACAGGGTTTTATGGAAATAGATCACCAGGCCTTTCTTCTGAGGCACCACTAGACTTTCAGTTAGCACCGGATTGTGTTGATCATTGACACCACTCAGGAATTCCTTTATACAACTAAGACCAAATGCTATTTTTTGATTTTAAAATCATTTCTCTTTTCTAATTTTAGAATGTCTGGTGCCAGAATTCATAAAATCTTCCATTAATATAAGACATTTAATTTCCACATAAAACATACTTTATTTTTCTTAAGCATATTCTAACTCCCAGTAGCTAAGCCCTTACAATATTCTTCAAGGAAAAATTCTGTCCAGTTTGTAGAGTAACCGAGATACTAATAGTGTCTCTGCTTCTTCATACCTCCTAATTATAGGCTGAATTGTTAATATCCTCTATATGCCAAATAACAGGGGGGAATGATGTAAAAAATGTTTCTCTGCTCTACATGCTGCTAATTCCTAAGTAATTTTTTAATATTCTGCCACCTATTTTTTCTACCCAGTCCTAGAAATTTCTAGGCCTAAAAATAATTAAGTGAAAACTCTGTCGGCATCATCATTAAGCAGCTCTTTACTCTCATGGTTATATAAA